CCCCCCCCCCCCCCCTCCCTATTTTTATTAGTTTATGGTAGAAACATATTGTAGTCTAGCATGACCTTAGAACATTTACATATCAATTGGAAATTCTATTTGCCTATGTTAAACGTGGTATGGAGCAGGAGATAATAAACAGTGTTATTTGTTGTGATTCTACATATTGATTGATTGCTCTTATGGTTAGTGTATGAGATGAGTTGCCTTAAAATTTTGGTTTTACCTTGCCCATATTCATTTGCCGAGATTTAATGCACTCAACAAGAGTAAAAACTTCGAGTAGAATTAGGTCAAGTTTTTTCCGTTCCATTGATGGACCACAGGACTTTTGAAGTGACGAAAGGGATGAGGGACAAAATGATCCCCTTTTATGAGGGAGGAAAATAGAATGGAAAAGAAATGAAAAAAAAAAAAAAGGAGAAATTATGACCTGTGTCTCATGAGCCATTGTGGTTAATGCAATTGACCGAGTCTAAGGGGTAGTTAAAGAAAAACAAGACCCCCTAAATTTAGGATAAAATTCCCAAAAAGCACAAATTTGTGAATCGCAAAACCAAAGCCAAGAAGCCATTGATGCAGTTTTCTTTCGTGGGATAAACACGACAAAAAATGACTGCCTTGCATTTTGTGCCCCTTTTCCATCCTCCATTCCAAAGCCCCCTCAGTGGCAGCTAGTACCGGCTGCTGTGGCAGCCACGGAGGGCAATGGAAGTGGGGGGGCATGCGCTGTCACGCAGAGTAATGGTGGTGGCAGATCCAACAAGGGAGTCTGCGGGTGCACTCCAATATGCACTTTCTCATGCAGTTGTTGAGCAGGACGAGTTGATCCTTCTCCACGTGGAGAATCCAAGCTCATGGAGAAACACATTCTCGACATTCCTCAGGCGGCCAAGCCACTCAGCGACCTCCACAGCGGCAGCTACCTTCTTAGAAGGTGGTGCAGGCGATCACGTCGATTTTCTTGAGGAAATGAGGTGGGCATGCAAACTTGCACAGCCAAGGGTACGTGTGCGTGTAGAGAGGGTGGCAATGGAAGGCAAAGAAAAGGCAACCACTATTCTGTTTCAAAGCATGGCTTTTGGGGTTGATGTCCTGGTTATAGGGCAGCGTCGGAGTCTTTCCTCTTCACTATTGGGGTAAAACAAGGATTAAAAAGTATTTAACCAAGCATGTGTTATTGAAAAAAAAAAAAAAAAAGAGAAACAGAAAACGTTTGTTGTAGCACAAGCGAGAAAATAGATATTTATTTGTGATTCTGTAGTAACTTCATTGTGCCTTTCATTTTGGGTTTTTAGCACTTGTGCTGTGCTTTTGAAGTTTTGGTGGTTTGTTTTATCCTTGAATATTTTTTATTGACAATTTGGTCCTCGGATTTTTAGAAGAGTAGCAATTAACTTCGATCAAACCGGAAATAAATTTAGGGAATTCTATGTCTAATTCATGGACTAATCTGTATTAAAGAAACAATAATAAAAACTACGAGAAATTTAGAGGGTACAAGTGTGCTAAAAAAAGTAATGTTATTCTGTCCAAAATGTATCCTCCACTAAACGTTAAGAATTAATTGATGCTATTTTGTTAATTTAAGACTAAATTTCTAAAGGGGAAAAAAAGAAAAAAAGACTTGGCAACTTCTGTTGCATGAAGATCATAGGCTTCAATGTCGGATTCTGGAACAACCTTTTACTTCCTGTTTCCTGAGGGTATAATTTTCCTTCTTGTTGATACAGCATTTGATTCCCAGTGCAATATTTGAAAACAAAAACTTTACTATTTGTTCTTTAATTTTTTAATTTTTTTTTTTTTTGGATAATAGAAACTTTATCTGTTTGTGAATCATTCCAGTAATTATGTGCTTGCAGATATAAGCGACCCGGAGGGTCACTGAAAGGGGCAAAATCCATAGACACAGCAGAATACTTGATTGAGAACAGCAAGTGCACCTGTGTTGGAGTACAGAAGAAGGGCCAAAATGCAGGCTTCGTTCTCAATTCTAAAACCCACAAGAACTTCTGGCTACTGGCTTAAACCACCGAACTACCTGGGATTCAACATTCTATGTCCTAGAAGCCGCCGTTGAAATCAGTATGCTCACTTCAGTTCTCGAGCTTGAGACCTGTTTCTCAAGGCAGATCAAATTTGAATCCTTGAAGCTGCTAAGTTAGTTCATTAAGCAAGGGAGCTTGATTAAGGTTTTTGTTTTCTCTGGTTATGGAGTGAACCACATGATAATTTTCATTTGTAAGTGTTAAATTTGTACTACATACTTGATACGGCCGACTCATAAAAAGCCAACAAGAGGAAAATGTCATTTGCAGACCAAAAATATATATGTAGTTGCATGAATATTTCCATTTGCATTTTCCTTTTCCAGTTTTATCTTTTGAAAATGAATTTGAGGTCATTGAGACCCAGAAAGAAAGAAAGATCCAAAAGATAAAAAGGACTAGGGCCTATGATACAACACATTATAAGGGCTCACGGTAGCTTGCAGATCCAAATTATAGAACATCCGTGGCCATAAAAGAAAGTACAAAATTTCAGAGTTCATCACGCATAACTCTTTCTAATGGAACCTCCAACCTATTAACTGCATTATCTTGGACCTGGGCTTGATTTGCAGCATCTATAACAGCTCCTGGTCCATGCTCTACTTGTCGAACCATACCGGCCTTAACAGCGGCGGTGACTGCCCTTTGCAACTTCAGTAGGCCAATACGCTTTGAAACCACATAAAGAACAGCACAAGAGAACAAGAAAAATCCAACAGCAAGTATAACCCTGTCCAAACAGAATTGGTAATAAGTTTTGGCACATATAGATAATGTTTTATACGAAACTTGAGACCTTTCTCTCTACTTACCTGTCCAGAACATCTTGGCGTTGCATTGTGGAGAGCAGGTTTCTGGTTCTCATCAACAATGATCGGTGGCCTCTGTACTCACTTTCAGCCTTCCTTAGTACTCCTGTTGATTCCTCTGCAGAATCCAACATATTCATATTCGTTTTAACCAACCACAAAGAACTTGAAAAGAAATAAAAAAAGAGAGTAGAAACCAACAAGTTATTCTGCAAGCAACACGACAAATATATCCATGGTTCATGGTGCCATGCGCAAAGCCATGCTTATGATATCCGTTGGCCGCAAAAGTTTGAGTAACTAGGATAAAGAGATTGAAACTATAAAAGTAACTAACTTGCAAATACTCTGGATCAGGCAATATTTGTTGAGTAGTTCTAGATTCTATAAGCCCGGCACATAATTCCCTAAAGAGGTGATGATGCAGAATTTTACCAAGTTATCTTAGAATGAGAACTCACCATTGGTCATCAATACACTTGCAGTTCTCTCCACCTCCTACACAAACCCAAAAATAAAATGAGAAAAAAGGATTAGTAAATCCCACCAGATGACCAATGTAATTTGAATATGAAACAGGTAAAAAGATTTTAAAAAACAGTTACTGCACCTGAACCATCAGTTGGCGAGTACGGCGAAGGCTCTCTGTGATGCTTTCTGCAGCAGATGTCATACCAGCTTTAGTCCTGAAAGAAAAATCAAACACAAGTTTAAAATCGCAAACCCATATTAAAAGATATTCATCTTTACAAAACTAAGCTTCAAAAACATAGAGTGATATTTCAGGAAAGCCATGAATTAAAAAAAAATATAGACATACTGCAAGTTGCGCCTGCGAATCGTGGACTCTTCTCCACCACCAAGAAGAAGTTCTCTCTGCAATAAATAGTCTCACTGAATCACAATTTTACTCCAAATCATTTCTACAAGCTTCACACGTAAACAAATATAGCTATATCATAAAACTCCAGGAGAGAATTTCTAACATCAAACTTCAGAGACAATAATAAAGTTAACAAGAAACATTTTTTTTTTCACTTAATCGCATTATAAAGAGGGACTAATAGACTAATAGCATTAACTAGCTAAAATTTGGCCCAAAAAAGAAAATTAAAGAAAGAATTATCATTACCTCTTCTTGAGCAGCTTTCCTCATGTTAGCTTTTGCTTGTAAATTGGCATTTCTTAAACTCGACCGCAAACTGATAATAGAATTTAAATAAAACAGGCAAACAAAATAATCCAATCCATAAAAAACAGGGAAAAAAAGCATATAACGGTGAAAAAAAATTAAGAAGAAATCTGATTAGCTTGATAAAAAACATTCAAGCTCACAAAATCAATGCATCAATTTATCTCGGTAAATTTCCAATTCTCAATCTCCTAACTCATTTCCAAAATTCCATCCATTCTTCCAGACCCCAAAATCCTCAGGTTCATGAACTAAACGAAAAAAATAATAATCGTATATATATATATATATATATTCAGGTTTTAAAACTCTTAACAAAATGAAAATCCTAAATTTAATAATTAAACTCCGTAAATCTCCAATCTTCAATGTTTTAACTCATTTCCAAACTTTTTCATCGATTCTTCCAATCTATTAATACATGTGTGTGTGTGTGTGTGTGTGTGTTTGTGTGTAATGCAAATATAAATTATTCATGTTTCACAAGAACTCGAACAAATTGAACCTCCACAATTCAACAATTTTACTCCATAAATCTCCAATCTCCAATCTCCATTTTCCCACACCTTTTCCGGTTCACTTTCTCGGAAACCAAACAGAGACAAATTCCGAGAGCGCGTACCTCTGCGATCGATTCGTCCACGACTCGAGCAATGACTTGGCGGACTGGACCTTGTCATCGGAGGGCAATTGAGGAGCGAGCAGATCGAGCTTGAACTGCAGCGAATTGAGCAAAGCCAAGCAATCCTGAGCGACGCCGTTCATTCTGGGGAGAGAATATTTGCTCTTGCCCTCGGATTCAGTCGAACTGGATTTGCCATAGGCTTCGATCGCCTTGATTTGCTCGACCAGCTTGACGTAGGCCTCGTCCCACTCCTTCTTGGCCTTCTCCACCTGCTCTTCGACCTCGTCCATTATCGACTACGAAACACAGAGGAGGACAGAAAGTGGCTTGTTTGGCTTCCGAGAATCTGCTTTCGAAATCGAAAAACAAGCCGTTAGTGACGTGTAATAATACTAACATTCCTTTGGGGAAAAAAAAATGTGCCCTTAAACTTTGGTCATTCCTAATTTGCCTTCTTAACTTAAAAAAATGTCATTTTACCTCTCAAATTTTAAATTAATCCATTCATTAATGATGACAATTCGTATTAATAAGTCGTGTTCGTATCAATACGTTTATTAATCGTGTCAAAAATATCAATCTAAACACGACTTGTTTATTAAACGTGTGAAAAATGCCAACCAAAACACGATCCATTTATTAATTGTATTAATCGTGTCAACTCATATAACTCGTTTAAATTAATATATTGAATAAATAACTAATATAATAATGACTTATTTAACACGGTCAAGACAAGTTTAATATAATCACTCGCCAAGAGCTCCACAGACCATAAACAACAAGAGCCTGTGCACTGTATAGCCACTACATCCACTTGACTTTTGGCTTTTAGTGCAACAGATGCTTATCACTCATGATCATGGAGATCGTAGCAAAGATCTTAGGCTTAAACGTTCTGATGTGCAGGATCCTCTACTTAAGGCAAGCACAGAGCATACTAGTCAGGAGGAGAATAGTTACGATATAAGGAAATGAACTCAAAATTTCAGAGAGGAAGAAAAGGGGAATTTAAGCCTCGTTCACTTCGCGGATTCAAGTTTTTAATTCGAACTGAGATGTGACATTTTCTGAGAGCTTTTCACTGTAGCAGAAAAAGTTAGATGTGACATTTTCTGAGAGCTTTTTACTATAGAAACCTAAAACTGAAAACTCGAATTGGTGAAATGAACGAGGCCTTAGAAACTCATGTTTTTATTGCTAAGCAAACTATTTACAAGTTCTCTTGGTTAGAGGACTTCTGCCTTTCCAAGAGAAATGTCTCGCCTTATATAATGCTGAGGCTCAACACACAAGACTCAAATATTATCCAATAAGATAAGATTCACACAGTAAAACTTTAGACTTATTTTGCAAAAGATAAAATAACTTTTGACAAAGTGGATCACCTACTGTTCCACTTTTGACTAGTACTAAAAGACAGAACCACTTTTGACAAAGTGGTAGACATACTTTTAGACTTTTGACTAAGTACACCAAATACTTTATTCAAGATAAGATCTTTGGATAAGATCTTATGACTTTTGTACAAAGAAGACAGATGGGTGCTTCTGGCATGGCTTAAGGGGACCCGTTGTAGAAGGAGCTGTAGTCTGATGATGATGAGTCAGAGTTCATTGAACCTCATTCATAAGGATGATCATGTGGGTACCACTGTTTGTGTCTTTTGGGTGGTGAATTATAGTCTGGATCCCGGGAATCTTGAAATAATACTGAGTTATAGTCTTGCTGACCCTGTGTATCCTGTTGTGATGGTGGTGCTTCAGAGGAGGTTGTTGCATCTTCTTCAAAATATCTACGGTTGCTAACAGTGAAGATGTTAAACGGTCCATAGATATTAGTGGGCGGAGCTATTACAGAGTTTATGCCTGGCTGTAGAGTAGGCTTTGGATGATGTATGTTTCCCCTACACAGGACCTTTGACAAGGTGATCGGTGATATCCTTTAGTGACTGTGAGTTGAGCAGGTATGGACGGTGTAGAAATAAGATGGTGTGCACCAATAGGACCTCTGTTGAAGAGAAGGTCCAGACTTTGTATCGTTGGAGAAGTCTTGAGACTTCTTTTCTCCACCACATGAGTGGGTTAAACGTCTCCAAAAGTTGCCACAGAGTCGACCCTTCCTCACTGGGATCATTGAGGTGTGTGTGTGAAGCTGCATGAGTGGACAGTGTAGGGCGATTTTATAAAGAGTTGTTTGGCACCATAGGTACCAAATATCATCTTCAGTAATGTCATCAAAAGGAGGATGAAGGTGGTAAAGGGCAAGGTATGGTTGTTCTGTATTGTACAGGAATTGAGCATGTGGGTTATTGGTTCTATTGCAGACATTGGTCATGTAATAGAAAAGATGATGTTTAGCATAGTACTGGATCTCGTTAAGTGTGGCTGTACTATCTAAACCAGAAGGAAAATGATGGTTGGTTTTATAGGAAAATATAGTGGTGTGTGAACATTAGTATTCATAAGGATGAGAGGAAAAGTTTTACAAGAAGTGATGACTTGGACTGATTTTGGTCGAGTTAGAAAATCAGGGATGAGGTTGTGATGACCTTTTATATGCTTGACAGAAAAGTCATATCTTGCAAACTAATCTTTAAGTATGAGTAATTGCGGATTAGGGAGTTTTGTTTTTAAAATCAAGGACCTCTAAAAATGATAAATTATCCATTCGGACCTCAAAATTATAACCTTTAATATGGAAATCAAATTTCTAAATTACATACTTTACCGCAAGAATCTCCTTGTAGATGGTGTGATAGTGCTTTTCTGATTCTTTGAATTGGCCACTAGCATGTCCACAGTAGTACTTCTTGTCTTTTTCCTCTTCGATGAGGATGGCTCCTCCAGTAATGGTCACTTGCGTCTGTCTGTAGGACTCTTTTTCCTATGCTTGGAATCTTTAAAGGTGGAGGTGACTGGGCTACCTTTTTTAAAGCGATGACAACGGCTGTCTATTCTGTTCCCCACTAAGAGGGATTCTTTTTCAACATCTTTGACAGCTGGCTGGTATGTTCAGTCACGCGTGGGATAAAGTATCTAAGATAATTGACTATTCCCAAGAACTATTGAATCTGCTTGACAGTGAGGTTCTTATCTAGAAACGTCAATAATTCTCGAGCTATGTGTGGGCCAGGTTGAAACTTTCCTTGGGATATCTGCATCCCTAGGAATTCTACTTGGTTTTGTCCTATCTGGCTTTTCTTCTCAGAGAGCATGATGCCATGCTGATCCACGATTTGATGGAATTGGCTAGTAAGACTTTATGGGCTTCTTCTTCTTTTGAGAACAGTAGAATGTCATCTACATAAATTAAGGCACTGTACAAAATGGGCTCAAAGATTTAGGCCATCGTCCGCTGAAATAGTGACGGGGTCGTCTTGAGTCCAAATGGCAGGACACGCCATTGGTACTGTGCATCTGGAATACAGAAGGTTGGTTTAGTCTTATCCTTAAGATCAATTCCTAATTGTCAGAGTGCTCCTTTGAGATCAAACTTTTAGAAAACTTGGGCTTTTTTCAGGTGAATGAATAGGGAGCTAGTTCTTGGAATAGGAAATTTGTCATCCTTCAGGAACAGGTTCAAAGGCTTATAATCAATCACGAGCCTTTTTTTTCACTAACCTGTTATGATCTCTTTTCTACATAGAAGGCTTGGCAAGCCCAATCTGACTTTGTGGGGTCAATTAATCCTTGCTTGAGAAGCTGGGCACATTCCTCCCGGGCCAAGTCTAGATCTGATGGAGTCATTCTTGGATGAGTAGTCTTAGTCAGATTGATGTCTTCGTTCTTCTTGAAGGGCAACTGTATGAAGAACTTTTGGTTTTTCCATAAAGGACTGGGATGCTGGAATTTATCATGACTATCAGCACAACATTTCAGAAGTTTGTTCTTAATTTCTTCATAACTAGTTGGAGCTTCTTTGATTGAGAACATCTTTGGGATGGAGTAAGGCTTGAATTACCTTGTATACTTCAGTCCTGTGGGAAGGATTTGAAGTTTCTCTGCTTGGCAGTACACATCCATTCTGACGAGTAAATCCTTGTCCGGTAGTGAGCTTCCAAGGATTCTTGTCCATATGATGCATCCAGGGAAGAACTTGATACCAATTTTACTTTTGGTAATTAGTTCTGTTTTGAACACTTGATCATCTGCAGCTTTGAAGTACTCAATGTGCGGTATCCAAAAACCTCGTGGGAGAAAGCTTGGATTCATCATTGTTCTTCTTGCACCAGTATCAATGTAGGCAATTAAGATTACTGGATTATTATACTTTGAGGTTAGATATGGACTTCGACATTCGGTAGTAGAGGAGTCAGCATGGTTACGGAACACTGTTCCATATTATAGACTGGAATGTGGTAGTCTACATCTTCTTCTTCTTAACCAATGTCTTCTTGGTCTGAGTCTGGAATAGCGAAGATCGTATCTACGTCTGGATCTTCCTATTCGGAAAACAGGGATTCTAGATCAGCATCCTCTTCATCCCGATTCGCTGAGCTGGCTTGTAGTTGTTGGATGATTCTGGCTGACTTGGCAGATTTCTTGGGACAATTCTTTGAATAGTGTCTTTTTTCTTCGTAACTGAAACAACGGTATGATTTTGGATTGCCACGCCTTTTTCTTCTGAAGAATCAGAACTTCCTTCCTTCATTTTTGTTGAATTTCTTGGGTCTGCGAGACCGTCTTGGAGTACTATTATGAGAGTGCTTTGAAAGACTGCAGGAGCACTTGTTGTCTTTACATTTGATCTGTAAGTAGGGCTTCTTGCATGCTTTCTTGAACTTAGATCTTTCCTTCATCATTGGGGAGAATAACCCTTGTGTCTTATAGAGTTTGTTAAGTGCCGCCAATGCCAGTTGATGAATTTCTCCAATAGAGATGTCTTTCGGCTCTTTTTTGTGGCCATAAGAGATCTTTGAAGTTCTGGCTGTAATTCTTGTGGTAGTGACGACAGGTACACTTCTCGGAGATTAGGATCATTGAATCCATTTAGCATGTAGTATCACCGAGACATTCTTTGATAATGAAATTCAATGTCTTTTTTTCTTAAGGAACAACATTTCATTTCAAAGTACTCTTGGCGCATCTACTTATCGATGAGGTTATAATCTCTGATGAATTCTTGGTATATGGGCCCAAGTATTCTTGCAGCGGTGTCTGCTTTGATGAATTGGAGTTGTCTATATCCTCCAAGGCTTTAAAACCAATCTCTGAGAGTACCAGTGAATCTAGAAGCAAAATCTCTAAGGACAGCTTGGAGTTCTGCTCTGGGTTTTATCATCTGCAAGTCAATCCTTTCTCTCCATTGATCTAAAGGGGCTTTGTCAAAGGTCAACCAGGGACCAGCTGTTGGCATGGAGAATGTATTCCCTAATCACTGTTGGGCATCAGATGGTTCTTCAATTATGGGGAATGTTTCCCTCGCAGATTCTCCCATCTCCGTGTGGGTCTGTTGATCATTAGACCCTGTAGAGGTGGCCATTAGAAATTGCATGATGTCCATGGTATCCTATGCTTCTTCAGACTCCTTTGAGCTTGTTTCTGTTTCAGACAGACATTCTGAGAACTCAGATGGTTCTGAGTCTGATTCAGAGGCTGAGGTCAGTTCTGAAAACACTTCTTGTTTTGAGGAGAGCGCCATGCAGGTAGGAGGGTACTCCTGGTTTTTCTTCTTTTCTTCTGTTGGTTTAGCCTTCTGTGGGACAAGTTCATCTTCTTATGAAGAAAAACTCATCATGGTAGTCTTTGATTTTGAGGAAGTTGGCCTTGTTGGAGCAGTTGGTTTTGAAGCAGATGGTTTTGACCATATTGGATCTTTAAAGATCTCATGGGTCATCTTGAAGACCTTTGAATAGTCAGGTTGAGATGAATATGAGTATGACGGGAACAGAGAGGGACCAAATGGGGGAAGTGGATAAGAAAGAGGATCAAACATTCTCCTTTCTCTTCTTTCCAAGTCATCATCGATTCGCTTGAGTTCAGCTTTCAGCTTCTGGATCTCCGCTTCTTTTTTATCGAATTCTGGACCAAAGTAGCCCTGATTAACAAGGCTTCTTAAGTCAGAATCTAACCGTTTAATCTTCGATTGAAGATTTTCATAGATCCTTCGTACATCATCACTGAGGCTGTCAAGCTTCTTATTAGCAAGGTTAGCCTGGGCAATTACCTTGTCTTTAGTTTTGATCTTCTGTTGGACTTGGTTCTGTGCTATGGCATTTTGCGTTTGCCAGTTTAAAACTTCTTCTGCCTTAGTTAGAGGCTTTGTTCTTCCGTCTGGATGCATCTAACTTTAGTTTTGATCTTCTGTTGGACTTGGTTCTGTGCTATGGCATTTTGCGTTTGCCAGTTTAGAACTTCTTCTGCCTTAGTTAGAGGCTTTGTTCTTCCGTCTGGATGCATCTCTGTTGGCTGTACATATGGTCTAGAGACCACCTTAGTTCTCTGGTCTACATGTCTTTCAAGGGCTGGGAAGTCTTGATCATATGATGAGAACATCATACAGGGTGCAGTTCTTGGAATGGATGAATTTCCAAGGTTTTTCTTGAAAACCCAGGGGCTATCTGGATCATCTGGATGATATTGTCTTCTTGTCATATGAGGCTGGGGTGTACAGGTACCCTTCTTTCTTCTTCTGCTACTCGGACGATCATCTTCTTCATCTTTGAGGTCCATCCAACAGTCACAGTCTAGATCACACATGGAGGGATTAGTATCCCACATGAAATGACCGTTGATTTTATCTGTGAAGATCTTAGATCCATCTGTTGCAAAATAAGCAACAGAGATTTCTTCTTCTGTGGTGACTGGCCTAATCATCATGGTCGGAGTTGTGCTGGAACTTTTGTTAGGGAGTTTAAAGACATTTTTCACCTGTCCATCTTCAAACCGGACGAAAGTTGGATCAGTTGTATGGATGAGCTTATGGTTTTGGTGTAACTTCTCATAGTTGGTGAACCATTCCAGAGGCATAAGCTTTGTCATCTCATCTCGAGAGAGTTGCTTAGGAATCTGCACAATGGTTGGGATCTTATTCTCTCTTTCTGCTGTGATAAGCAGAGTGTCTGGAGTATGACCTGGGATATAGAGATCAAGTGCGTGATTTTGCAATCTGTAGATGAGCTGATGGTGGAGTGTAGCTCTGTATGAAGATGGGACTTGCTCTACACCAATGATTTAGAGTTGGACTTTGAGACACGTGGACAAGTGTGGATCTTTTAGTGGAATGTTGAAGTTTGGAAAAAAGGTTAATAGGACACTACCAGCATGGAGTGTGGAAAGTGTAGTTCCTATTATTGTATGTTCGTATCTAGTATATCTGGTATCTAGGAGTGCCAGACGAATAGTGACAGGTAAACCTTTTCTGCCATGAAGGGTTAGGACAAATCTTATTGCCCCGAAGTGGAGGTGAGTATGGCCTTCAGCAAGCCATTGGGTGATAAGATCTTTTGGGATCCCAAGATCAATATATTATTCTTGAAAGGTGCTAGGGACAAGACACTTATCAAGTCTAGAGAACTGGACATATTCTTTAACAGTGGGTCTGGTATTGGAGATGAGTTGTTTAATAGTACGTCGATGTCTTTTAAAAACATTGTACGGACTTAATAGAGGAGGGACAGACTCTTCTACTATGGTTGTTTCAAGAATATAGGAGTATTCTACTAGGTTTTCTATTTTAGAGGAAAGGGATGTTTTACAAGAACTAGGAATAGTAATTGACGAGGATAGTCTAGCTAGTTCTAAGGACTTGGTAGATTTCTGGGCAGGAGTATTCATGGTGTGCGGGGTTTCCCCTCTTACTCTTCGTCCTTCTTATTCCCTTATAACACAATCTTCTCCTTCTTCACAAGACTCCTGTGAAGTCGCCGAGCCACCGTTTAGGCTCTGATACCTTCTTCACAGTGCATATTTATTAATCGTGTTAATCGTGTCAACCCGATTATGACCTTAACTCATTTATAGTAAACTCAAACCCGCTAACTTTGTGCGGGTTACGAGTCGTGTCATCATGTCGCTACCCAGATTGCCAGTCCTACCATTTATATTTTCTATTAAAAATCTGTTAAAAAGAGGTAAAAAAAGGGGGTGGTGTGATTATATGAGGCTCCCCCGGTAACGTTTTCAAAATGATTTTTTCTTTTTCAGTACGAAAGTAAAAATGAGATTGTTTTAAAAATCATTCTGAGACTAATTCTAAAATTGTGTTTAGTTAGTTTTTTAAGATATTACAAACATAATTTACTTTCAAAAACTTACAGTGTCCATTTGATATTGTTACTACATATTGATCGATCCTCCATAAATAATTCATAAATAAAGTTAGGTGAAATCTGTTAATCTCTCTAGTTACATATTTATCTTTGAGTGCCGTTAATTCTCTAATGATAGTGATTCATAAAATAAATTCATGAATCGGAGCTCCTACTAATCCAAATATTAAATCAACCCTTAAGAAAATTATTTATCTATTTCTTTATTTAAAAATAAATGGATTCTATCTCATATATTAGCATCCCCAACTACCTATTTTATGATGTCTCCAAAATACAAGGATTATGATCGTGTATTTATTTTAATTACCTTTTAAATCAGACTTATTTCTATCAATCTTTTTTTTTCAAGGTTCTATCCTTTTAATTTTCTACTCTTTATAGTTTTATCTTCCCTCCCATATTCTTTCCTCCTTATCAAACGGAATCTAAAAGAGAAAACATTAGTGGAAAAGAAATTGAGAAAAAAATTACTACTATTATTGTTTTTTTTTCCTGAGTTATTATTATTTTTTAATTTACATTGCTGAACTTTCGTCCTTTTTAATAGTGGTGTAAGTTGTTTGTTTTATATTCTTGGTGGAAGTGTTAAGTTATTTATTTTGGATAGAGAAATATACAAATTGATTCATTTTTTGACATCATTCTCATTTTGACTATTTTTTTTCACTGTATTATTGTTTTTTTCCTGAGTTATTATTATTAATTTTTTAAAATTTACATTGCTAAATTTTGGTCCTTTTTAATAGTGATGTAAGTTGTTTATTTTTTTTAATTCTTGGTGGAAGTGTTAAGTTATTTATTTTGGATAGAGAAATATATAAATTGATTCATTTTTGTCGGCGTTCTCATTTTGACTATTTCTTTCACGTTGTTGTTGTCGTCATTGTCGTCATTTCATTTTTTATCATATTTTTTTTCACTCCATGTGTTTATAAACGAGAATCTTACATGCAGGTACAGATATCAACGGATAACTGTCCTTAATAAGGTAGGTATGGGAATACTATATGGGGTGAGGGCGTGGGGAGTTAAAATTAACCCCGAGTCAGGAATGAGGTGGAGGTGTGGGAAGCTCCCTGTCCCACTCCCGACCTGATTATATGTACTTTTATTTTAAATAATTATAATTATATTATTCTTTAAAAAATCCTAAAATTTATGTATAGAAATTATTAATTAAAAAGAAAAGAGAAACTACAAAAAGAAAAATGGATACTATCCTTTTAATTATAATATTTTTTAATTATAAATAACAAATTTTAGTTGTTGTTTTCATTTCGCCCTATTTTTATTGCTCCAGGTATTGTTTCATTTTTTTTTTTGTCGTTCTCAGTTACTGCTGTTCCTTTTTTTTTTTTTTTTTTTTTTTTTTTTTTTTTCTTCTCTCTTGTCATTCTTCGATGTCTTTTACTTTTACATCGTTAACTTTCGTTTACATTCAATAGCTCACACTTTATTGTCATTTTCCAGATTGTCATTGCCTTCCTTCATATGCCGTCATTTTTCTTGGTTCATTTTTATTGTTGTTTTCACTTTGTTTTATGTCATTTAGAAGAAGTTTGGTTCATAAATTAAAACCATATGATTAAAACTATTTTTGATTTACGTATATTTTTTATGAGAAAAAATACTGTAACGAACCACGAACTATGATTCGAATCAGGGAACGAAACCTCCAACCAAACAACCTCTTAGTATTCATTGTGTTAATGTTCTTAAGGAGCAGCACCACACAACTCTTCATTTTGTTGTCCATAAGAACATTGAATAAAATAGACTTTAGTTTTACAACTTTTAAAGACAAGCGTTTAAAAGTCTTGGTTTCGAAAGGGCAAATGTTGTTCACAACCAAGATCAACTACTCTTATTTTTCCTTTGTAACTTGCAATTTTCTGCGCTGCTCAAATCATTACTTCTTAGAATGATAAAATTGAAAACAAAAAGTTTTATGGGTATATATGCATATCTAAGTGTGTAAAGAATGTGTTGCAAACTTACTTTTGTAGAATGGTAAATTTAAACAATAAGGAGTTTTACAGACAATATTAGCGTACACTTACGTGAACAAAATCCCGAACTCCACCTATAAAGGAGAAAAAGGGGCAAGAAGTGGAGCAGCAGACAACAAAAACCAAAATTGCTGCAGGCATTGCTTGTTCAATTTCGTCAAAATTACAATCATATACATATATCATTAGAGCACATACCATCTTTTTGTCTTCAGTTACTGGGTAGAGAAGATCAAACAAATCTGGAAGATGCTCGGCTTGCAAAACAAGGAAAAAAAAATGGTAGATGCTTGACCGCATATACATTAACAAACAGTCGCACTTTCCGGAGAGAGACAGGATGTGCCAAAATTCCTATGTTTACCATCAGCCACATTAGTGACATGGAATCCTTGGTTGGGAAGTTGATTGATGAGAAGAGTCTCCAGTTGACATGCCAGACTCTTTCCTGGGACTGTGAAGTAAAGGAAATTGGCTTTCTGCATCCCATCCTTTGAACGGTGGGTTCGGACTCGGCCCTCCAAATCATCCGACTACAGCAACAGTGAACAATGAAATTGGTTTTTCGATTAGAATAACAATACTACTAGACATTTATGTTCAGTAAAATAACACCAACTTTAAGATGGTGACTAACAGGCCAATGAAAACTTATTTCCCTATCCCAGTTGGCATCATAACATATTAATCAGTTTTACAGAATTACCTGTCCAACGTATAGTTTCTTATCAGGCCTTAGCATCACATAGACGCATGCAGCACCTACAGTTGAAGGAGGTGGTTGTTCCCTGGCACCAATCAGAACGCAGTGAATCTCAGTAAGTTCTGATGTTTTCTCCTTCTTGTACAGCTCTATCAACTTCCTTTGGCATATCATAGTAACAGCAGTCTCAACTTCCTTTTGCAAGAGTTCCATTCGGTCTGTTGGTCTGCCCCTTTCAGAATCTTTTTCACCAGAATTTGATTGAAGAGATACATTGGAACCGTTGAAACTTGTATAAGAGCACATGTTTTGTAGTTTAGAGTCATTTTCTGCCGGAACCACCTCTTTTGCATAAACTGAATCGTACAGCTCTTCAGCTCTTTGTATTATTGTTTCAGGCATTCCTTCTCTCTTAGCAGTCTCAAATGCAAGGCTCTCTCTACAAATCCCGTCCATTAGTTTCCAAGTTGGTTTCGTTTGGCCATCGACATAAACGGTTCCCATGGCCTTAAACATGGTGTTCTTTGCCTTGAGTGGCAAACTAAATATCCCATTCAAGTGAGTGGACACAATACCTAGGCAACCTATTTTATCCAGAGTTTCAACAATGCTGCCGGCAATACAAGTTCCTTTTGCCGTTTCTGTTCCTCGACATATTTCGTCTATAAGCACAAGGCTTCTTTTACTTGTGGCCGAGATAATTGATCGGATCTCTGACATTTCAACCTGACATAGAAATTGGGAAAATGAATCCAGTAATTGTATTTTCAGCTAAAACAATTGACTTCAAGAGCCACATTAACATTTCAAGATATTCTGCAATTTCTGAAAATAAGCTAATATGTACAAAAGTGAAATGAATTGCAGGAAAGAAGTGTTCATAACCATAGAAAAGTTTAAAAATGTCTGCTATGGATGATACCTGAAATGAACTTTTTCCGTCAGCTGGGCTATCGTAAGATTTCATGTGAAGCATGATATTATCAAAATGTGGAATGAAAGCCGACTCAGCAGGCACCATGAACCCACAGATTCCAAGTAATGCAGCAGCACAAAGTGATCGAAGCAAACTTGATTTACCGCCACCATTTGGTCCAGTCAAAAGAAGCAGTGATTGCATATCAACAGTATTATTTACAGCACTACCTTCTGCTACATCAAACCAGTACGGTGATAGACCAACCAGCTTCATTCCCTCAGCTCCATTCGATGGTTTTACATCCTGCATTCAGTTCCTCAATATGTGTAAAAAAAAAAAAAAATTACATATTACATATTCAGTTCCTTGAAATAGTTTCAAATGATATAATATATAGGATACATCATTCAAGTAAAGATACTGATAAAAAAGATCGGAAAAATAGGGCAGCACCTTAGACAGGGGTAACTCCAGAAGAGTGGGGAAAACCCATTTCCTTCTTCTGCCTTCACTGCAAAATATCAAAAATGGAAAATTTCTATGAGACATCCATTTTTAACAATATAAGTACTTGAAGTCATTAAATTTTATGAATTCATAAATATAAATGAAACATGTAGTGCATAGTTTTCTTCTTCTTGGTCAACTGACGGTTAGTAAATAAGATGTTGATAAATATTGACTTGAGTCTGCACTAAAAATGATCAACAGATCCAAACAAATCCATGAACCAAAACTCCACAGTCAAAGCCACAGCCACGTAAACATTTGAAGGCTTACAAGTAGCATAAAATGATTATTCCCATAGAATGTCAACTTAAAAGAGTTAAATAAAAACAACCAGATTAAATGTATTGTCATTGAACTGAAAGAGTCAAACAAATAACATATTTCAAAAAAAAAAAACAACGTAAACTACACAAAAGTCCTATTATTCCGGATTAGTTCATAAACAGATAAAAGGAATTTGGAGTTTGGTAATAGTGAGAACACGGTTCTTGGATAAGTTTATTTTGAAAAGATCTTTTTAAGTCGTCAAGCGGCCAAATTTGGAATGAACCTGAATAGTAATAGGAAACTCTATGAGATGCAAAACGCTCTAACGATTATGTCACTAGTTTAAGAGAATGTATGTTAAACCAACCATTGAAGAATAGACGAGAACATTAGATATATTGCTATAGAGATTGGTAAGTGTACTGTTTTAAAGCTTACTAAAGTTATTTGTACCCAACCTCACATGAGAAAACAATGCCTTTGCTATAACTAGTAGCATTGAAGCAAATACTAAAATGTTAGTCTTTGCTTGTAGTTCAGAAGAAAGTCCCTTCAACAATTCCAAGACCCTTGCTTTTGCCTTGGCACCAGCCTCATGGTACCTAAAAGAGAGAAATTTTATTATATGATATGCATAAAAGACACATATTAACATGTGTGTGCATATAACAAAACCTTCAAAGAACTTTTAATAATGCACACAAAAGAGACCTTGTTAAAGCATCCTCCACCTTCATTGTAGTAAACCATTCTTCTCCAACTTTTCTACCTTTTGAATCTAAAGCGGGTTTGAGAAGTTTAATCTGTTGCTCCCCCGGGGTACCGGCCCATACAGCAGGTAAAAACCTTTTTCCCTTAAACCAAACAGCCTCATGCTCCCTAGCATACAATATTTCCCCCTTTGGGCCTCCAAGTGGGGCTGTGGTAGCCCTTATTCTTGTAATGATGGGCAGGAAGGCTTCAGAAACCTGCCAGAACAAATGAACACGAGGATTAATGGATGTAAAAATAAATCCAAAATAATGAACTAGCTTTTCGCAACTTGAACTGCAACTAAATAATTTTCTAGGATGAAAAATCACTGAATCACATATATGAATATTACCTATATGTAGATAGACCATGGAACTTGAATATTCTTATGAATGACGTATGGATCATATTTTGAATATTCTTAAGCCTTAGAAGTTCAAGTGAGGAACCATTATCTAGCAAATTCCATAATTTTTAATGTGACTAATATCTGGGAACTTGTCTGGGATTAGAAATGGGAATGTGAGATGCTAACACGATATTCAAAGAAGGGGAAGGGAGAAGGCTGCGCAAACTCAATAGAGTTCAAAGAGTCGGGAAGTAAACAAAAAATGAATAGCCATTGGCAGATTGTTTTAGATGCAAGTCGCTACTACCATCCACTTTTCGATTTTAGGTTTTTTCCCGGCTGGCAAGAAAATGACAATAGCACAACAAGTTCATATGAGAACAATTTTCACGTTTCATAGACGACCAGACTCGATATAAGCTCAAACTTGAATTAATTGTTGAATGCGAGAGAACAGAGCACAGAATGGCTATAGCCTTCAACTTGCTTAAGAAATGCTCTTTAGTACAAAAAACAAATGCTATTTCAGGTAAAATATTCTCCTCTAGTATGTTTAACAAAACCAAGTACTCAGATAACCAACTGCGAAGGCAAAATTGAATTCCAAGGACTCACTGCTAGAGTTAAAGCCTCAGCTGCCCTTTCCACTGCTGCAAATTCTTCCCCTATATGGACCTTCTTGACACGACCTTTCCATGACGACTCCATATCCTCAAAGAAATCATCAGGAACAATAGAAGAGGAACTGATTTTTTGATCACTCTCACCATCTAGAGAGATCATTTCACCAATTTTATTTGAAGTCCATTCACATTCATCAATCTGGAAAAAAAAAAAAAAAAAAAAAAAAAAAAAAAAAAAAATTAAACAAAAAAAAAAAAAAAAAAAAAAAAAAAAAAAAAAAAAAAAAAATTAAAAATAAACATGGAAGTATCAAAAAAACCATAAACAAGGAGTCAATTACAAATCATGTTTTGTGTGTATGTGTGTATAAAACACAAGGAGACACCGAATAAAATTTAACAGTAATTAATCCAATGAATAACTGAAAATTGTAAAAACACGAAATAAGAAACTTACTAATGTCTCAAAATCAATTTTCAAGCCAGTGGCCACCCACGTAGGGTCCAACAACAATTTCAGGATTTCACTGAGCTCAGAATTTTTAGTCATGAGCAACAATTCATCCACTACGTTTTTTATTCTACAAAACTCAATATGATTGGCCTCCCTTAGTTCAAGTAGCTTCACAAGCTGTTCAACAAACAGAAACTTGACAATTAGATACAGAAAACAATAATGTATTGTAAAAGTAAAAGTTTATACTTTGTTTTGACTCATTAGCAAGCTTAGCATACAACCTTTGCAGATGAAACACAGGTAAAGTCCGGAATCGAGCAAGTCACATTGCTCATAAGTTTGCACGTTGCTGCTCCAATAAAAAATTATAATTAGAAAATTTCAAAAACCAAAACGAAAAATAAGGGTCACGGGATTGCAAGCGAACAACTGTAAGGTAAAAGCAAAAGTTTCATCTCTCGGAGACACATCAAACACTCAACTGCCACAAGAATATGCTATACGAGTCATTAAATATATATATTAATGTATATTTTGGAAAGAAAAAAAAAACTGTGTTAGTGTAATTGCACGTCTTCTCAAGGCTTCAAACACTCACCTGAATCTTGAAAAGTCTATCATCTTGGTTTATGTAGTTCTTAACAAATTAAAAAGTTGGCTTTTCTCTTTTATTCTTTTTTGGTTCATTCACCACATCTATTCTTAACACTGATCCATGTAAAATTCGTACCAACAATTACACGACTTTAGCCATGTTCCCGTATATATTTAACTGATCATCAATCTTTCTTATTTATTGTGTTTGCGTTTGAGAAAGAGACTTCACATAAGGACACATCAGTGAACCACAATGCCATCTTGCATGTGACATGCGACAAATAGTTGCAACAATAAACAAAAAATGTCATTGGTTAAGCACCCAAAAAAAAAAAAAAAAAAAAAACTACTTGAACTTTTTGACTTGTACTAAAATAACAACTAAACATAGTAAGCGTCAAGCAATTGAAAAGCATATCATATTGTAACAAAAGGTTTCATTGACGGAAAATGGAATTACCACTAACCTTGAATTGTGGATGCAATTTCATATGCGGGAGGATTAAGAAGAAGATCTCTAATGTAACTGAGGAAAAAGAAATTGCACATTTTAATGAAACGAGAAGTGGTTGTGCCACACCAGGAAAAAGAGGGGGGTGATTAGTGCATGAAAATGCACCCTAAACACTACTTTTGATTTATAAAATATTAAAATATTTAAGCTTTAATTAAACAATTCCGTTATTTTTATTCATAATATTTTTAATTAGAATTTGTCTAGTTTTTGCTTTATCATTTGCAAATAAAAAGCAGTGCAAAAGCTATACAAAAAGAAGCCACGAAAGCCATATTTTTAGCTACTTTCAGTCACCAAGCCACGTCATATAGAGAGAGAGCCGTGTGAGCTGAGTCAAAGCCACAAGCTAATCTCCGCGTGGGCCCCAGCTCTCCCGCGTTCCCCACTCCACCTCGCGCGCATCAACAGCAAGCAAAACTCCCTGGGCGCGTGTGCTTACTCCGCGCAGTCTCCGGCGCATCCAAGTCTATTCCGTGTGGGTCCCGCGTGCAGCGTGCCAGTCTGCTTTCCCATTCTCCGTGCATGACAGTTGTCTCAGTGGACCCCAGCTGTCTCCAACCGCCAGCGCCCTTCTTCCTCTCCGCGCGCGACACGTGGAAATTGAATCCACTTCCTCCAACTAAGCTTTGACACGTGTCCTCAAGGGTGCTGGATCCGAATTTCTTCTACGCAAATTACCTGATTTCTTTTCCAAATCATGATTTTTCCTAATTTATGTGTAATTTTATTTTGTTTCCTTTTCTTTTGTAATTTTTTATTTTTATTATTTATTTTTTTATTTGACAGGCAGCCTCTGAACACTATAAATAAGAGGGTTAGCCTAAGGTTTTTGTAAGTTTTTAATATTCAGTTTTCTATTGTCTTGCTGTCAGTCTCATATTTTCTCTCTAGAACTTGTGAGAATGTTTTGCAAACTAGGCTAGAGTTCTCTTGGCGAGGTTAGAGATGAACTTTTGTTAGTGACTAAATTCAGGCTTTTGATTCTTTGTGCTGTAATGTTCAATATCTGAACGAATTAAATCTCATCTATCTTTCATTTATTTTTCAAAATATTTTGTGCTAATTTTCATATAAGTTCAGTCACGCACTATTTTGTTATTCAAATTATTTTATAAATTCTCTTTTACTGCAATATTGTCAAATTGATATATTATCGATTTTGGATAACTTGTAAAAATAATATTTTCGGAGTCAACATTGAGATTTAATTTATTCGATTCTTTTATTTTGTTAATCAAAACTTGAATTGGTGAACGAAACATTAGGAATTCTCGACACCTTTACCGTTTTTACTACTGAATTTCCTTCATACAAATTTTCTCCTTTTTATTTTATTTGCAATAAAAATCTCTAAAACTCTTCTTTTTCTTTAATTTACTTGTTATTTATTTTTCTCTAACGTTCTTATTCTGCTAATCTTTCTTCTTTATTTTATTACCTCGATGTGAATACGACCGTCCTTCTATGCTACAATGGACCGCTTGTGAACATCATTTTTGGGCGTTAATCAAATTTTGACGCCGTTGCCGGGGAGGTGCTACTAGCAAGACTGATCAGTAGATTTTTGAGCCGAAGGGGTAAGTATACATCTTTTTTTAATTATTATTTTCTTTGCTATTAAGCTGTGTTAGTTTCTTATTTTACTTATTAGTCTTTGTCTAGCTTTTAGTTCACGTTCTGTAGTAGATCAGTAGTTTAATTTGTTTTAGCCTTTTTGTTTCATTTTTTTGGTCGTTTCTTATTTCAAAAAAAAAAAATTTCCTTTTAATATTTGCTTTTAGTTGTCTGTTAGTTTCGTTATTATTGGATTTTGTTAGTTTTTCTTTATTTGTTTATTTATTATTTTTTTTCTTTCTTTGTCAACTAAGTAGGTATTATTTTTTTTATTATTATTTTGTTTCCTTATTTCTCATTTAATTGTTTAGAATTTTATTACCATTTTATTCAATAGCATAATGTGAGAGTTTCCTTTTCAATTATTAGAACTAATTGTGATTTGATTTTTGTAATCTTTTACTTTTTATAAGTTAGGATTTTATTTTATTTTTCTATTTGTATAATTTAATTGTTAATTATTTTATTGTTGCCTAATTTTTTTTTTTATTTTTTTTTTATTTTTTTTTTTATAATTTTCATTAATTCATAGGATTGTAATTAGGATTATAATTAATTCACTATTCTTAATCTAGGAGTTTCACAATTTGATAGATTTAAGCTTTTGACTTTAGGAATAGTTTCCATTGATTAGATTTCATTTCATAATTTATTCAATAAAATTTAATAATTGATTTTGAGAATAATTGTGTGGTTACGTAGAAAGTACAATTGAGGGAGTTCTGTCTAGGAAAGTTAGTACTTAAGTGGGCCTTGCCCCACCAATTTTTTCTGTGAATGTTGCTCTGTCTAGGAGGCTATTCATTAATATTGAATTATGTACATTAATTAATTAATTAATTAGGAGATATTGTTTAAATTATGAGATATCGCATATCTCTCCATATCGCATATCTCTCCTAGTTTAGGGGGCAGTTCCTATTTCTTAGGAAAGATTCTAGGAATATCTTGAGGATAGCTTCTCTATCCTATTAGGGTTAGTTTCCCGGAATCACTAAGCCACGGGAACTAGGTCCTTTTGTATCCTATTTATACTCCGGTTTTGCACCAATTAAATCAAGAAAGGATTTATATTTTTCTCCTCAGAAACTTACATGGTATCAGAGCCTGGTTTAGGACTTATCTCTGTCCGCCATGGCCAAGAATCCAGAAAACCTTCCTTCAACCCAAACCGTATCCTCTAATAATGCTGATTTCAACCCTAATGCTTCCATTCAAATTACTACCGTACGATTGAATGGAAGGAATTTCTTAGAATGGGCCCAATCGGTAAAACTAGCCATAGATGGCCGAGGAAAACTAGGGTTTCTTACAGGGGAGGAACCAAAACCTAAGGATTCTGACTCTTCATTCCGAAAGTGGAGGTCTGAAAACTCACTCATCACTACATGGCTTCTCAATTCCATGGAGGAATCAATCCGGAAGCCATACATGTTCATGTCAGCCCAAGAAGTATGGGAGGCCGTGCGTGAAACCTACTCGGACTTGGAAAATTATTCACAAGCCTATGAATTGAAGACTCGGCTGTGGAATTCCAAGCAGGGGGAGGCCGATATCACCACGTATTACAACAGGATGCTGGCACTTTGGCAGGAATTAGACCTTTGCTATAATGACGAATGGGAGAATCCCAAAGACCTTGCTAGGTTTAAAAAAAGGGAAGAAATTGATCGTGTTTTTATGTTTTTAGCAGGGGTTAATGCAGGATTTGACGATGTTAAAGGGCGTGTTCTAGGCAGACGCCCTCTTCCTACAATCCGTGAAGTTTTTTCTGAACTTAGGCAGGAAGAAGGACGAAAGAGAGTCATGACTGGTTCATTCTTGCCACCAGCAGAGCCTGAAAATTCAGCCTTAGTAGTTCGTGGCAATGAGGGTGATCCAGATAAGAAAAAGAAGCCGTGGTGTGACCACTGCAAACGGCACTGGCACACCAAAGATTCCTGCTGGAAGCTTCATGGGAAACCACCTAATTGGCAGCAAATTGGAAGAAGAAACAGGAGGGAAGCAGGACGTTTAACACCGTGACTGAGACTACTCCAGAGCAACCATCTACCTCGGTACAGCCTCCATTCACCAAGGAACAAATTGAGCATCTTCTAAAACTCTTTAAGTCTCCACAAATTTCTAATCCTCCTTCTACCTCCTATGCTCACCAAGGTAAACAAGCTCCTTCTGCCCTCACTTCCTCAAAAATTTCTGGCCCATGGATCATAGATTCTGGCGCCACAGATCATATGACCAGTTGTTCCCATTTATTTTCCACTTACAGCCCTTGTGCAGGAAATAAAAAAATCCAAGTGGCTGATGGCTCGTTTTCAGCCATAGCAGGGACCGGTTCCATCAAAATTTCTGCATGTTTAACACTAAAAGATGTGTTACATGTTCCAAAATTGTCATGCAATTTACTGTCAGTCAGTAAATTAACTCTTGACCAAAAATGTCATGCTAATTTCTTTCCATCTTACTGTGAATTTCAGGACATGGCCTCGGGGAAGATGATTGGCAATGCTAAACTAAGTGGTGGACTCTACTACTTTGACGATGGATCACTTCCTAAAGATTATGCTTCCAATACTTGCTTAGGTGTTATTTCTAGTTCTAGTAAGAATGACATTATGCTTTGGCATTTTAGACTTGGTCATCCAAATTTTTATTATTTAAAACGTTTGTTTCCTAGGTTATTCTCAAATAAAGATCCATCTCTTTTTCAATGCGAAATTTGTGCTTTAGCAAAAATGCATCGATCTCCATATATCCCTCGTCCATATGTTCCATCCCAACCTTTTTCTCTTATGCATAGTGATATATGGGGACCTTCAAGAATATCAACTCCTTCAGGAAAATGATGGTTTGTTACCTTTATAGATGATCACACAAGAATGACTTGGGTTTACTTGATGACACAAAAATCCGAGGTGGAGCACATCTTTAAAACATTTTATAACATGATTTACACTCAATTTGAAACAAAAATCAAAGTTTTAAGAAGTGACAATGGTCGTGAATATTTCACAAAACTTTTGAGTGATTTTTTCTCACAAAATGGCATTTTTCAGCAAAGCTCTTGTGTTGACACGCCTCAACAAAATGGCATTGCCGAAAGGAAGAATAAGCACCTATTAGAAGTGGCTCGGGCATTGTTATTTACACATAAAGTACCAAAAACTTTCTGGGGAGACGCTGTTTTAACAGCAACCTTTTTGATAAATAGAATGCCTTCAAAAGTTTTGAAGTTTGCCACTCCTATAAGTGAATTTTCCAAAATTTTTCCCCAAACAAAAATTCAATCAACTCTGCCATTGAAAACGTTTGGGTGCACTGTTTATATCCACAATAAAGATGTCAACATAGGAAAACTTGATCCTAGAGGAACTAGGTGTGTCTTCTTAGGCTAC